TTTAGAGGAAACAGAGTCAGGGAAGAATGTTGAAAAGATAGCTTAGAGAGATGGAGGAGAGCCGTCAAAGTTCACTTGAGGCAGCTACAGAGGAATGAGTTTCAAGGTTTCAAAGTGAAATCTTAAGATTTCACTTTCATTCTTCCTCATCACTCCTGCCTGTCAGTCAAGAGGTCCCCCAGACCCAGCTCCTTCCTTTTTTTCCAGATTTAACTCCTCCACTCTTCACACACTTCACAGTAGTAACACTGAATTCTTTGTATCTGCCCTGCTTTCCCCCACACTACACTGTCCACAGTCCTCATTCCTTTGCTGAGGTTGTCCCATCTACTTGGACCAGCTTCCTGTCTTTTTCATCCTGGTTGACTCTGTCTCACCCTTTCAGCTCAGTTCAAACACTGCCGCTTTTAGAAGACTTCCTTCAACCTTTTTTACATCTTTGTACCTCTAAACCTAACGCTACCTCAGTATATAGTTTCTTAGTACTTGTTTTGGTGTGAAATTAATCTTAGAATCTGAATTACTTCTTTGGTCTCCTGATTGATTTCCCTTATTTCTACTCTCCCCTAGCCCCAGAGCATTTAATTGAAAGAGAAAGCAGTAGTTCATCTAAAGCACTGTATCAGCTGGAGTCCCGTAAGGAGGAAACAATGTGCCAGTTATGGTTCTGACAGCCTTATTGAGATATAATTATCATACAATAAATGCACATATTTAAAGTGCATAATTTAATAAGTTGTGACATACGTATATGCCCATGAAATGACAACCACAATCAAAATCATATTCATCATCCCTCAAAGTTTCTTTGTGCCCATGGTAATCCTTCCCACCTGCCCCTCCGTGCTTGGCCCCATCCCTGTTCCTATGTAACCACTAATCTACTTCCTGCCAGTATAGATTTTTCTCATTTTCTAGAGTTTTTTTAGCGGAACCATACAGTAGGTACTTTTGTGTCTTGCTTCTTTCACTGTCTGGCATAATTATTCTGAAGTCGTGTGCATCGATAGTTCACTCATTTTTATCACTGAGTAGTATCCCAGTATATGGATATACCATTATTAGTTTATTCCACCTGTTGAGGGACATTTGGATTGTTTTCAGATTTTGTCTGTCACAAATAAATATGCCATAAACAATCATGAAGAGGTCTTTGTGAGGACTTATACTTTGTTTTCTCTCATACAAATACCTAGGAATGGAGAGGCTGGGTCAGCCGAAGTGTTTCCCAAAGCAACTACCATTTTATGTTCCCACTAGCAATGTGTGTTACTCTCACCAGTGTCCTGTGAGGTCTTCCACTGGCTAGGAGAAGCATGAGCTGCTAGCCCGTGTGAGCTCTGAAGATCCTGCCACTGTTCCTTTGGGGAGGTGCCTGCCCTGGCTTAGGCAGTTTCCTCACCTGCATGCACTGATGCGCAGATCTTCAGAGGTCTCTCCAGTGCCCTGCCCTGTAAACTCCAGTCATCTTGGCCTCTGCAGACGCCCAGTTCTATCCTCTCAACTCGGGGATAGAATACCACTGTACTCCGCCTGGGTTGCCACTTCCTTCTCTGTGGCCTGGAAACTCTCCAGGCAGTAGCCTGGGACAGTCCTTGGGGCTCACCTTGTCTATTTCTCTCTTTCCAGATTCACTGCCTGTATTGCCTGTTGTGCAATGTCTCGAAACACTGTTTAATCAATTTTGTACAGTTTTTTAGTTGTTTTAAGTAGTAGGTTAAATCTAGCCCCTAATCATCTCAGCCAGAAGAGGAAGTCTAATCAGCACTGGTTATTTTAACAGAGTTTCTTTTTGAACCCATGGGTATTTGAAGTGTATTTTTAAATTTCCAAATATTTGGGAATTTTTTTCCTCAGGTGTATTATTGTTATTTATTTTTATCTCAATTCCCCTGGCCAGAGAAGTTAATACGAGATTTCAAGTTTTCAAGTCTATTGAGACTTGTTTTACGGCTCAGCATATAGTTTACCTTGGTAAACATGCCATGTATACCTGCACACTTACCAAGCTGTGTATTCTGCAGTGGTTAGGTGTGGCGCTCTACAGACGTCGATTAAGTCAGGGTAGTTGATAGTGTTGTTAAGCCGGCTGTATCCTTCTCACATTTTGTGCAGTCTGTCAGTTGCTGAGAGAGGGGTATCAAATTGTCAACTGTGACTTAGTTGGATTTGTCTAATTCTCTCTTTAATTCTATCAGTTTTGCTTCATTTATTTTGAAACTCTGTTAGGCATATACACACATATAATGTTTATATCTTCCAGATGATTGAATCTTTTGTCATTATGAACTGTCCCTTTTATTCTTTAAGAATACCCCTCGTCTTGAAGAATATTTTGTCTGATTTTAATGTAGCTACTCAGCTTTTTAATACTTATTGTTGCATGGTATATCTTTTTAATCCTTTTTACTTTCAGTTTATTTGTGACTTTGTTTTTAAACTCTCTTGTATACAGCATATAATTGGATCTTGTTTTTTATCCAGTCTGGAAAGTATGACTGAAAAAAAAACTGTTATAAATTTTTAAGTAGTCACATATATTTTAAAGAAATTGATTATATTTACCTTAATATTTCCCATTTCTAGCACTCTTTGCATCTGGTATAATTTTTCTTCAACTTGAAGTACTTCCTTTAGCATTTCTTTTTATAAAGGCCTGCTAGCAATTATTTCTCTTAGTTTTTATTCATCTGAATGCGTTTTTATTTTGCCTTTGATTTTAAAGAATGTTATTGCTGAATGTAGAATTCTGCATTGACAGTTTTCCTGTCAGCATAAAATACACACACACACACGCATGCACGCACACACACAATTTCCACTGTCTTCTGATCTCCATTGCTTCTCATGAAAACTCAGCTGTCATTCATGTCATTCTCCCCTTATATGTAGTGTGTCACCTTTCTGTGGATACTTTGAAGATTTTCTTTGTTAGGTTTGGTATCAGCAATTTGACTGTAATAGTAGTAGATGTGGTTTCCTCTGTGGCTCTCTTTTTACTGGAATTCCTCCCACCCCTGACTCTCCAGTGCTGTGGTAGCTCCAAATCTTGTCCTCTGGATCATTAAGCCAGTGAGACTGTAGGTTTAGCCAAATTTTTAGCACATGGTATAAAGTTGACTAGAACTTAGGTGATGATTTGGAGAAACAGGAAACTCATCCAGTGCTCTTCCTTTCTTCCAAGTGTTGACTCCCTCCAGTTTCTGCTCATGGTTTCCCTGCAGGGATAAACCACCAGCCCTAGGGATATGGGAGCAGGGGGAAGAGGTTGGAATTATTAAAATTTAACAGCTTGGAGGATGGGCTCTGTGGGGTGGTGACCCAAAACTGTAATCCAGACCTCTTAGAGGGGATCCTGGCTGGCTGGTTGCTAATGTTATTAAGGGGGATATGATAAGGCTGCTTCTACAAGTGTTGGGGGAAAGTACAGACTAGAAAGAATGTTGCTGATGGAGTGAAGAAGCATTGCAGGGGTGATGCTGTCAGGAGCAGGCCAACAGGAAAGTGCAAGTCCTTTCTTCCTGCTCCAGCCTTCCAATCTCCATCTCCTGTTGGCAGAACCTAAGAAGAAGTTAGCTGGCACAGCAGATGTGGTTGGTGGTGTACCAGCCCAAGTATCACGAAGCTAAGAGACAATGGCTTAACAACTGACACAGCCAGCCATTAGCTCCTCAGAACCCGTGCACATTCTGTTATGTATATTACATCCAAGCAACAAAAACATAGTTTTAAAAGATGAAAATGTTTGGAGATGAGAGGGTTGGGAACAAATGGCATTCCTGGTTGAGGCGGTGATTTATGTTTCTTAAATTGTCTGATTTTGTGGTAAACTAGCAACATTTTTGCCCAGGTTAGCCTCTGACTGTGGATGAACATGGAAAGGAAGGTTAAAGTCAAAGAAAATTTTCTTTTCTTCATAATAATTCAGAGCCTGGCAGTGATGATGGTAGAATCTAAATGTGCATTAGGAGGTATGTTGTGATGCACGTTGTGATATGTAAACACTTTACAGCAACTTACTACAATTCCTGTATCCTCCTCTCTTGTGGGAGCTCTAATGAGACAGGCTTCCTTTCACCTTCTCTCACCTGGTTATGCTTCTGATTTTATGAACTCTGTCTCTTAAAAATAGTTTTGTTTCTTTCCATATCCAACTTCAGATGAAACTATCTGAGAGCAAACCCTAGCACTGGGAGTACTGATAACAATTTGCATCTAGAAATTTGGACCAGGCCCATAATTCATATTCGGTAGATATTTCTATATCAAACCCACTTTAAATTTCAGTTTCTTTCCATTCCTTCAATTCCTTCTATTTGTAATAAATATCATTTGTCTGTTACATATTCCAGTATATTATATTCTAGGTTCTTTGGTGATACTAGTGAATAAAATGGACAAAGATCCCCACCCTGATGAGAAACTACATTTTAGTAATCATCACAACTGCTCTGGAAAATTGCTGCTTTTCTCCCACCAAAGATTTATTAACATTAACTTTCCATCTAACATAGTGATTTTCATTCATGGCCCTTGTGTAGACACTGGGCAAGAAGACATTCTTTATTTCAGAGGAAAAAGGCTTTTTTGTAGCTGGAGGTTCTGTAAGGATAGACCAGTATGATGTGGCATATTTTCTCTAGTTTATCATGTAAAAGATGAAAGTTTGAAGATACTAAAAATATAGTGGTTTCAGAGACAGATGAGTGGGTGAAGGGAGAAATATTTAAAGACAAGTTATTTGAAGCTTTTCTTGCCTTGGCATCAGTGAGGAGAGAGAGAAAAGGCAGCCCCCAAATGACTGGTGCATCAGGTGTAGCCTGGGTGTACTTCAAATAGACAGAATAGAAACATAGTGGAAAAAAAAAGTAGGAACAACTAAACAGGAGAGAATTCTGTTATGGCATTTAAAAACTCCAGTTATTGAAAATGCAATAAATTTGAAATAGAGTATTTTCAATTTTATTTTTTGATTATAGCTCTTATTTGTTACTTTATAGATACTGTGCCTGTTTCCTCAGAAAAAAGCCCATCTCTGCAGACAAATGTGAGTTTGGACAAGAAATCAGACAATACTATTACAAATACTGTAATAGAAAACCCTTTGCAAATGTCTCTAGAAAAGCAGCCAGCCACAAAAAGTTTTGAAACCCTGACAGCTTTACCAGCATTTTGGTCATCAAGTAAAGAAGAGTTGATCAACCCTAATTTAAGGATCTCAAAGTCAGATTCTACCTTCTATAATCAGGCCTCTGTAGAGACACTCTATGTCTCTCCCTCATTCAAAACATTTGACCCAGTGAAGGAGACGTTAATCAGTAAGGACCGTCTGAAAGCAACACAGTCCAGCTTCGTGCAGATGGATGCTGGAAACCTAAAGACCTTAACCACATGGGGTGAGTATACAGAAAAACAGACAAACACAAACCAAAAAACCTCTTTTGAAAAACCCTTCTTTTACTTTTCTCTGCATTTGTCTCCATTTTTTGTTCCTTCCTTTTACTCTCCATCCATTAGTATTAAAACATGCCATGGAGGTACTTCTCAGTTGATAAAGTGCCTCTTTTATTTAAGGGCTAATAGCAGCTCATCATTGTGAATTACAAGTGCTTAAGAAAGCACAAGTTCTGAGCAATTTTGATGCAGAACAAATTAGGAAGAACTAGCGTTAAATAAGAGCTTCCTGTTAGAACTTTAGGTTATTTATTTTTAAACCATATGAGAAAATTGGTTATTATGTATATTGGTCTGTATATACACACATTTAAAAGGGAAAACACATATATGTGTGTGTGTGGGTGTGTGCGCTGTCTCCTTTTTAGAAGAGCTATGTACTGATTACAAAAAAGGGATGGAGAGTCTCTTCCATTTTCTGTCTTAAGAAACATTAAGAGGGTTGCAGTAATGCTTAGGCTGGATGATGAAGGATAAAGCCAGTTGGGAGTCCAGGTCATTAGTTATTAAATCCTACATTTTATAATTATATTTTCCTCTGTAAAGCTAATTAGTTAGTAAAAGTAAATTTGTTTACTGGTACATTTTTCAAAGACTAGTTTATTGGTTCTTATATATAATGATGCTTACTTACTCATATAAATATAAAGTTTTTAATATAAATCTTTTAAACTGCCTCAAATTCAGGTCAGAAGTACGATATAAATACAAACAATGGAAGCCAAAATGTTGAGGTTAAAGAAATTTACCTTGGTGCTAGTAAGGTCAGTGAATAACAAAAAACTCTTTTTGCTGCTCTTTCCACAATTTTTTCAAATCGAGTAGCGTAAAAATACAACTGATTCTTAGTTTTGTCACCAAATTAACTGCTGATGGGGAAACCAATTAGTATTGGTTATGATGGCCATGTTAGCTATGTGCATGGCTGTCCCATGGGAAGTTGTTATTTTTGGTTCATTTCTTTCACAAATACCACGAAAAGAAAATTGAAAATAATTTTTGGTCACTGCCTGTGTACCAAGTACATTTAATTATAAAATGTAGCAAGAAGTTCCTCTAAAACCAGTTAGCAAGAAAGACTTTTGCTTCTACTTATAATGAAGTAGACAGCATTATTCTAATCCTCCACCAAAAATACTGATTAAAGCTGAAAAAACTATTAACAGTCATTATAAACCAACGAAAGTAGAAAACACATGATGAGTCAGGATCCTGGGGAACAGGATTGTGATACTGTGATATAATAAGAAACATATATTTGGTCTTCATCTCTGGTTTCTGGCACAGAGCTCCTAAAACCCTTGTAATTTCCTGAGTCATAGAAGTGAGGGGAACACCTTTCGTTATTCGTAATAAGCCCCTTTCAACCACACCAGCAGAACTTTCAGACCTCCCTCCTGGCCTGTGGGAAGAGGTGAGGGGCTGGAGATTGAGTTAATCATCAGTGCCAAAGATTCGATCAGTCATGCCTATATAATGGAACCTCCATAAAAATCCTGAAGAATGGCTTTAGAGTGCTTCCAGGATGGTGAACACATAAAGGTTCTGGGAGGAGGGCACCCCCGGAGAAGGCATGGCAGCTCTGTGCCCCTTCCCCGCACCTCACCCTATGCATTTTTTCCATTTGGCTGTTCCTGAGTTGTATCCTTTTGATAAACCAAAAATAGTAAGTAAAGTTCTTTCCTGAGTTTTGTGAGCCATTCTAGCAGATCATCAAGCCCAGGGAGGGGACCACGGGATCCCTCAATTTATAGCCAGCAGGTCAGAAATAGAGGAGGCTTGGACTTGCAGTTGGCATCTGAAGTGGGAGGCAGGCTTGAGAGACTGAGCCCTTACTCTCTGGGGTCTGCACTAACTCTGAGTTTCAGTGTCAGAATTGAGTTAAATTGTAGGACACCCAGTTGGTGTGCACAGAGCCTTGGAGAAATCCTTGGTGCAGAAAGCCCTCATGTTTGGTGTCAGAAGTGATGTGAGTAGAGTAGGAAACTAGTTCACATTTAGCTGGTCCCACGTTCACCTCAGCTTCCCCCCTTGCATCATTTGCCTATGAGCAGAGCAGGACGATAGAAGCTGAGAGAAAATTATAGGCCTGGGCTTTCCGCTGTCTCACTGAACTTGAAAGATAGGGTTGCAGTTTGGGGCTTCCAAGGTGCCAGGGACTCAAGGAGCCAATATTCTAGAGGGGAGGAAATCACAGAGAAAAAGTCCACAAGTCTTCGTGTAATTTCTTACATTTGCCTCTTGCTAAGCTGATCATGTTCTGGATGAGGTGCCAGGAGACTAAATGGGAAGCAGCTTCTAAGACCCAGTGAGCTGAGCAGAGATCCTGGTAATTTTATGGTGCTAAGAGACAGGTTGAACTCCAGTTCAGGACGTGCTGGATTGTAGGAGCTCTGCTAAATACTCCGTCCTTTCGGTTGGGACCTCGAACAGGCTACACCCTAAGCATCAGAACTACACTCTAGGAGTAAGGACAAGCCGGAAATAGAACAGCCTTCTCAAATGCTGAACCCCAGCTTCAACTAGAGCAAAGTGATCGCCTTGTATTCCATCTGTCTTCTAGAAGACACTGAAATCCTTTCTTGAGAGCTGCTGCAATTTCATGCATAATGTTTGGCATTCAACAAAAAATTACCGAGCATACCAGGAAATGAACAAATGACCAGAAATACAGGAGAAAAACAGACAACAGAAACAGACTCACAATCTGGATACTGAAGTTACAAGATCGGTACTTTAATCATGATTAATATGATCAAGAAAACAGAAGGAAAGATGCGTAATTTCATCAGAATAGAATACTACTATCTATAAAGAAGAATCAAGTGAATTCCTGAATTCCAAAGCTGAAAAGTACAGTAGTGGGGAGTTAGCGGACATAAAGTGTTTAGGGTGAGACCTGGTACTCGGTGTCATAGGCAAACTTCTATTACTACTCCAGTGTCCGTATTTTTAGTTCCACTTTTAGAACTGGAGAACCCCGGCCCTCTCCAACCCTTAATATCCCCTCTGGTTATTTCCAGAAGTACCCAGGAGTTTCTCATTTATTCTCAGGAACAAGTAGACCCTTATCCTTATAGAAAGGGCATTCAGGCTGAGGAATAATTCAGGGCTCAGCTGACCAAAGAGGTTATGAGGACCTCCAGTTCATTCTCCATGGAGCAGCCAGGGTGACCTGATGACTGATACTCCCCACTTAAAACGTGGACTGCGCCTCCTATTCTTAAAGATCAAATAGCCTACTGGGCTTCATGCAGTCTGGCTTCTTCCTCTCTCAGAAGCCTGGTGCTCTTTCCATTTGTCAGATAAACTAAGTGACTTCACCACCTTTTTACTCTTGTTTCCTCTGACCAGAACACTTCTGACCCACCCCTTCCCTAGCTCACTCCTGCTGATCCTTCATAGGTCAGCTCGCTTCTTCAAGATTTCCTGGTCCCCTAGATTATTTCAAATCCCCCCAGCTGTGTGCTGTGTTAGTACCTGTAATCGTCCTTCCTGGCACGTGTTGTCATTCTAATTAAATATAACTGCGTAAGCACAAAGTTGTTTAATTCTCCGCCTTCCACCCATGTAAAATATCAGCTTCATGAGGAAAGGGACCATGTGTGCCCTGCTGATTATTGTATTCCCAGCACCAGTCACAGGGCCTTCCTTGCAAACTCCAGCTGGAAGGTGTCCATAAAGAAGTAATAGAAGAAGATACTGGAAAATTAAACCAAGACAGATGACGAGGTGCTAGGTGTGCCAGATTGGGACTTTACTTTGAAGACAATGCACGTCACTAAAGGTTTTAAGCCACGTGAGTGGCTTTATAAATGTGTTTGAAAAATTACTTGTGTCAGGGAATGTGGAAGGTTCATTTGGAGGGGGTGAAACTGGAGGCCAGAGAATTTCAGAGGCTGTTGTGGGAAAGGACACGAGGTAAGAGGTAGGGGAAGGAGCCAGTGAGGTGAGGAAGAGATCCCGAAACGGAGTGTGATCTGGGGAAGACGGGCTGGGATCCAGACCAGAAAGTCACCGTGTGCTGCGGGCCTGTGAGGAAGGAGGGGGAAGGATGTAGCAGACGTTGTTGGTTTTAGTAACTAAAACGTACTGAGCCTTCGTGGGCCGCACACTGTACGTCGTGGCCTCCATATCTTATTGTCTGAGGTCACCCACCAAGACTGAGGGTTTGGAATGGTATAAGGGCCATGAGGGGACTGGAAAGGACTTAAGACAGCCACTCTAGAGAACGGAGGGAGGGGTGATGAGACACCGAGGAGAGGAAGGAGCAGTGATCTGTAGCGGGCCGGATTTGCAGGAGCCAGTGCTTTTCTCCCACAGCACTGAGCATCCTGGGCTAGGAGTGAAAAAGGTAGATATTTAAACTGAAATAGGATTAGGACTGCAGCCTCTGGGCCAAATCTGGCCCATGGCCTGTTTTTGTAAATAAAGTGTTTTTCATGAACAAGTTATTTATTTAAGACGTCTCCTGCCATAAGCAAGGAAGATCAGTGTAATGGTCATCACTGGATACAAGAAGATGAGCTTAAGGTCCCATACACTTTTCTGGCCCACGTGTGCAGAGTAATGGTCCAAACCAGTGCTGCGGTCCCCACTGGGTAGTGGTCCGTTCATCTTCACGGCCAGTTGGAAGCAGACTCACATGAGGGTTACGGAATAGGATATGATTACCATCTCCCCAGGGAAAGGGCTTGGACTTGAGGTGGAGATGGGGGTGGGTGACAAACTCGGGTCTCTCCTCCTTCCTGTGGTGCCACTTCAGAAGAACGTTCAGCATGCTCACTCCCACCCTGGACAGCGCCACGAAGTAGGTGAGGTGCTTCCACGTGCAAGCTGAGCCCTCCTCGCCATGGGCGCCACTCCTCAGGCCACCCCAGCTGCAGCCCAGAAACCCAGGACCCAGCCACTGCCGCCATTTCCAGCCTGGACCACCTGTAAA